GTATTTAATGTTCGGCTCCGCCCGAACTTAGCCTTTCTTACTTGTTTTCAATATTTTTTTTTTGAGATGGCATATTTTCAAAAACTAATTTTTTTTTATCAAAATTTTAGTATGTAATATTTCTTTTCATAGAGAATTTCGATGTGTGTATGTGTGCTTTTTTTCATTTTTTCTCGCGCCGTTCCCGAGATATTTGGAAAACTATTAAATCGATTTGTTTTTGTTTTTGTGCTGTACGGTTTTTAAAAACGTAATAATCAATTTCATATTTAAAATTTAAAACAAATCAAACACATGAAGTGTGAACCCCGTCCATTTAGGTATCGAATGCCCCATATAATCCGGTCCGGGCTTGACTCCGGTTCGGGCTTTACTATTTTTACAAGTCAAAGGTTTCAGCAGAGAAACTTGAGTTAAGTTATTTAATATTTTTTTTTAATAATACTACCCTCGCTCTTAGGAGCCTGCAAAGCATCCATTGTAACAGCTTTAACAAACTTTGAAAGTTATAAATTAAGAAACAAACTCATAAAAACAAAACATGCATACGCACAAGTGCAATTATTTCCGTTAACCCTCAACAACTATGCAAAACTTTTCTTAGTTCACTTAAGCGCACTTTCATACGCAAGTGTGCCACTAAGTGAAAATACTACATTACAGCGATTACGAAATTTACATAACTACTTTTGCACAAAATAACCTTAAATGGCGGGTCGTAAAACAGGCAAAAAACAAACGATAAAATGTGCTAATTACGAAGAAGCGAATTGCAACTGAGCCCAATAAACGAGCAAACATTGTACGAAATCTGTAGTCACCCATTAAAAGTCAGAATGGCAGGTGGCCTGTACATATCAGAAAATTGCTTCGGCTTAGAGTAGAGAAGTATGTATGCAAGATCCGCTTGATTCCAGTTTAAAATACAAATAAAAACTTTTAAATTTTGATTTAAGTGAAAAATGATTTCTTATATTTGAATTAAATATTTCGTGAAGCCGGCAGTAAGTGTCGAACTTTTCAAATCGTTACTGAACGATGACACGTATATAATGTATATATAACTCTATACAGAGTATATTCAACAGGTGACTAATTTAAGTAGTCAATATGTAGCAAGGCGAGCAAATTACTGAAAGGTCGTTGGACCTTGAATGCTTATTTACTCATTCCTCTGGCTTGTGGATGGTCGGGCTTCGATTCTGAAGAATAGTGAAGAGGTACACTCAATTCCATCTAGTTCAGGAAGTGCTTACTCGCGTAAACGCTGTAGATTTGTGTAATAGTAACCCTTCAGAATTCTGTCAATTTCCACTCGTGGGAGTACCACCTGGAGTATAACCTCTATGTTCTACACTCACATAGTTTGACACAGTGGTGGGCAAATTATAAGTACTAAGTAAAAAAGTATTTTGGTACATCTATATTTTGTAGTAAATACCAAAGTACTTAACTATTTACTATGTTACTAAATACCAAGTGCGTTAGTATTTTTACAACACTAAATAGCAAGTACAAAAGTTATTTATGTAGTTAGTTTTACCTAAGGAAATTCCGTGTAGGAAAATATTTAGAAACTTTGGCTCTAATCCTTTTGCCTTTCCCTTTTAATTCCGAAAAGGCAGCGCTCTTTCTAAATCTCTTCCTGGTTCACTGCAGCAAAATTCCGTTGACTAATTTACAACTTAGCTTCCAGCCACATGAGACATTTTTTGATTAAAGTGTGTGAGTGTGTATGCTATACCTATCTGTTATCTCCTTGCTAAGGTTGACAGTGTAATGCTACAAAAAAAGTACAGAAAAATTTTATATTTCATTTTGTTGCTACGCCTGTATTTTGTAGCATAGCATCGCTTCTAGCAAGCACTCAGCCGTCAACCTTAGATACTTGTTAAATATTTATTTCACTGAATAATTTTTATATTAGCTTGCCTAAAATAAACTCAACTACATTAAGCTTATACAATTTAATTAAGTACACAAAATGAAACTATGTACATATATGTGCTGCACGCCGTACGATTTATTGACCCCATAGGAACAATAATAGATTGGCGCTAGTAGAGTTTGGCCGAGTTTCTCCTCCATAGGAATATCCATAATAATATTGCAGGACTTTCTTTTTCCTTCTCAGGAACTCTAGAGCTATTGAAAAGCAACTCAGAACAGTTTTTTTTAGCCCACTTCATAAAAAGAGAAGGTTATCAATTCGTCGGAAAATATATGTTTTTTATATATTACCGCATAACTTTGGGCCACGTTAACCAATTTCTATCGGATCACTGGATCATAAAGAAATAAACGATAATCTTAAATTTGTAAATGGGAATTGAAGTGGGTTTTATTTTTTGCTTAAAAATTCCTTGTTAGTTTGACATTTTCGACATTAAAAAAACAAGTTTTTTCGGCGTAATTTTGCAGAACTTTTTTCAGAACTCTAGAACTATTAAAAGCTACTCAGAAATTTAATTTTTTTTTTTACTTTTTGCCACATGTCGTTTGCTACATGAATCTGGCATACAAAATTTTTGATGTTTTTTTTTTGCAAAATCTGTAGACCTTTTTTTTCCTTTTAAAGAACTCTAGAATTTTTGAAAATCTACTCGGAGTAGCCTTTTTTTGTATTTTTTCGTCATACCGTATGCCAACTTCACAGACATTACACACGGGGCAACGGTCGAAACAATATGCCTGGCTGCTTCAACGGTTGCCTCGAGTGTAGTCAGCAATATATGAATAGGCTTATAATGGTTAAAATATGTACATATATTAAATATCGGAGGCCTGCGCTATCAATTCTCTATAAAAATCCCGCTATATTTTTGCCCCTACCTCTGAACCAATAAAAATGCGTTTCGCTACGAGTGCAATTAAAAAGCGTTCTTACTTCTTTTCAAAAAAAGTTGAAGTTTTCCCATTACCTCAAGTTTTGCTTCGGAGTTTATAGCTGTGACTGGTTGCTTAATAAGCTCGCATACTCGTAGAATCGTTCTTACGGTGATGGTAGGTTACATATGGCAATTGCGTAATCCAGTTTTTCTTGTATGTATGTACCTTACTATTGTTGTTACTTTGAACTACTTATTTTTATTCTCTTTTTTATCGCTTCTTGCAGCCGCTGTTGTCGTAACATTTTTCATATGTTGGCTGCCATTTCATATGCAGCGTCTTTGGTTCCTCTATGCCAAGGAAAACAACAATTTCCAAGAGATAAACGAATGGATGTTCTCTATTGCCGGCTTCACCTACTATGTGTCGTGGTAAGTACATTTTTGCTGAGGCAAATGATTGTATGTAGACTAACTGCAAACTTAAAGCAGAGCGAATAATGTGGCATATTCATTTAAGTATAAAAATTTATATACTTTGGTGTACTTACATGTAAATGTGCAAATACATATGTACAGATGTACATAGTAATAGGTCCATTAGACTGGATTTATTTTCATACAAATAGATATAAGTTTGCCATTACCCAACTCAAA